TTTGCCTCCAAGGCCATCCTGCAGCTGCTGGTCAACCCACTGACCGGCACCTTCATCGACCGGGTGGGCTACGTCCTGCCACTCCTGATCGGCTTGGTGGTCATGTTCCTCTCCACCCTCATCTTCGCCTTCGCCGAGAACTATGCGACCCTCTTCGTGGCCCGCAGCCTGCAGGGGCTGGGCTCGGCCTTTGCGGACACCTCGGGGGTGGCCCTCATTGCCGACAAGTACACCGAGGAGTCGGAGCGCAACCGTGCCCTGGGCGTGGCGCTGGCCTTCATCTCCTTTGGCAGCCTGGTGGCACCCCCCTTTGGTGGCATCTTGTACCGCATTGCCAAGAAACAGACGCCCTTCCTGGTGCTGGCCTTCATCTCCCTCTTGGACGCTCTGCTGCTGCTGGTGGCCATCAAGCCATTCGCCAACCAGACCCGGGAGAATATGCCGGTGGGCACGCCCATCCATCGGCTGATGATTGACCCCTACATCGCGGTGGTGGCCGGGGCCCTCACCACTTGCAACATCCCCTTGGCTTTCTTAGAGCCCACCGTCGCCAACTGGATGAACAGCACCATGAACGCCAACGAGTGGGAGATCGGTATGGCTTGGCTGCCGGCCTTCTTCCCCCACATCTTGGGCGTCTTCATCACCATCAAGTTGGCTGACAAGTATCCCCACCTGCAGTGGTTTTACGGGGCGTTGGGCATGGTCATCATTGGGGCCAGCTCGTGTGTGGTGCCTGCTTGCCGGAACTTTGGACAACTGATGGTCCCCTTGTGTGGCATCTGCTTCGGCATTGCCCTGGTGGACACGGCCCTTCTGCCCACCCTTGCTTTCTTGGTAGACGTGCGCCATGTGTCGGTCTACGGCAGTGTCTATGCCATTGCCGACATCTCCTATTCGGTGGCCTATGCCCTGGGGCCCATTGTGGCTGGAGAGATTGTCCACTCCTTTGGCTTCACCCAACTCAGCTTGGGCATGGGCCTTGCCAATGTCCTCTATTCCCCAGTCCTGCTGGCCCTCAAAAACATTTGCCAAATGAAGCCCTCCCATTCGGAAAGGAACATCCTTCTTGACGAGGAGCCCAAAGGACTCTATGACACCATCAAGATGGAAGAACGCAAAGCCAAGGGTAGACATCTCCACCCGGTGGGGGATTTTGAAGAGAATAGTGTAGTAGATCCTTACTGTAGAGACTTTAAAGGGGCTTTTGAGGATGATTCCTCAGACTACGACTATACTTAGAGCTTGGCTAGAAGGTCCTGTAGGAAGATGGACAGTGTCTCTGCTATTGTCTCCATATCTCCAATGTGCTACACATTAACCTTTCTCTGAATATGACAGTC